GGTTTCGGCTCAGGTCGTGATCTCACAGTTTGGGGGATCGATGGTGCTGACAGCACAGAGCCTGCTTGGGATTCTCTGTCTCTGTCTCTCTCTCTCTGTCTCTGCCTCTTCCCCCACTTGCACACACTCTCTCTCTCCAAATAAATAAATATTTAAAAATCTAATATAAATAAATTAACAAACAGATAAATAAAGCACCAGGTTTGTGGTCATTTGTGGTCTGCAGGCACAGAGCATCTGAAAGAACCACTCGGCCTCCCAAACCTCCTCGCCTCCCGGGGCCCTGCGGGATCTGGTCCCTACAAACCACCCCCGTCCCCAATCATCTCCCACCACCACCCTTTAAACTGACTCCGCCCTGGCACCCACCCGGGCCTTGGCCACACATTCCCTAACTCATCCAAGGCTCCCCTTCACAAGGGCTCCCGGACTGCTCCGTCCACCGCGATGTCTCCATCCCTCTGGTGGCCCTCACGCCCCTCCCTGTGCTTTGCAGCGCTACCGTGGCCTGAAATAAACGCGTGTGCATTTCCTTCACGACCGCCAGTTGTCTCCTCTGGAATTCGAGCGTACCGAGGACAGGAACCTAACTTTTCACCCTATGTCGCCCCTTCCATCCAGTCATAAAAAGTGGGTGAAGGCCAAGGCACTAATCAGTGTGCTGAGGATTAAAGAGTAAAGTCTGCTCTCTCAGGGCGCACCTGCTACTGGGGGAAGACAGACAACGAGCAAGTAAACATAATAAGTAACGTGTCACATGGTGGTGAGTGCTAAAGGAATAAGAAGGCAGGTGGGCGGGGGGAGGTGCCAGAGCGAGGGAGAGGAGATGTATTTTATTTAGGGTGGTCAGAAGAGTCCTCACAAAGTGACATTTGAGCAGAGACCTGAAAGGAGTGAGTACAGAGACTCGTAGATGTCTGAGGAGAGGAGCAAGTGCAAAGGCCCTGGGGCAGCAGTGTGCTTGACACGGCACCAGAAGCATAAGCACCAAGCAGATTCTTGGCACGTGTTAGACCCCTGCAATCCCCCCATCTGACGGGGGAATAGAGGGTAGAGGTAAAGTTCACAGCCTTGGGAAGCTGCTCAGATTCAAATTCCAGTTCTCCTACTCATCTCTTGGGTAAGTTGGTTTCTCTTAGAGTGTCCCGGCTTCCTTATCCATCTGCCGGTAATGACATTACCGTCTCCCTTCGTAGGCGGTTTTGAGAATAAAACGCATGGGTGCATGTTGGGCATTAACTGTGCCAGGCCCAG